AATCAGGTGCCACTGCAACGGAAGCTGTCGAAGCTGCTCTGCGTGTCCTCGAAGACAAAGAAATCACCAACGCGGGTTATGGCTCTAATTTGTCGATGGACGGGACCGTGGAATGCGATGCAACTATCGTTGACCATTTAGGAAGAAGCGGTGCCTGCGGAGCAGTTCCCAGTTAGTTGATTATCGATTGTTGAAGCCGAGACTTTGGCTGACATTGATCCTGCAGACATCAGAAATCCAATCTGTCTCGCAAAGCTGATTCTAGACAAGAGCAACCAGCCGTTATCGTTGCGTCGAGTACCCCCAAACATCTTGGTAGGGGAGGGCGCCAAAAACTTCTCGATGGAAAACGGGATGCAAATCGTGCCCAATGACTACCTCATATCCAAGAACGCGAGAGATCGATTCCTACGCTGGCAGGAGGATCTCAAGCGAGCTGAGGACAAAGTCAAGCAAGCAGGCACCCGCAAAACACTCGAGGAACCAGCTGAGAACTGTCAGCAGTATGACAACATGCCGACAACGGTTCCCTCCCGGATCTACCAAAGTCAGCAGAGAGACCATGCCAATGCTATTCTCAATGGAACATGGAACGAGGGCCAGCCAGATTCACCCCACCGAGGCTCACCGGTGCCCGAGCAGATGCAGGGCTATCCTCGGATTACACCTCCGAGGGCAACAATTGAGAGATCCCCATTGAGTCACGTAGGAGCCTCAATACCCTCCGTCAACAGATCTCGACCTCACCTGCTGCAAGAGAGAGACCCTCTGACATCCTCTTCCAGCCACTTGGCGGAAGAGGGAAATCGTGATGGCACAATGTCATCTCAGTGGACAGACGGGGCTAGACATGCAAGCACAATTGCACAGTTGCAGGGTTGCAGCCCTCGTAGACTTAAGAGGCCGTTTTCTGCGACTGAATTGGATCACGAGGACGTCATCACCGACACTGTTGGAGCCATAGCTATCGACGAAAGAGGGAACATTGCGGCAGGTTCATCCTCTGGAGGCATCGGAATGAAGCATCGCGGACGTATAGGCCCCGCTGCTCTGGTTGGCATCGGTACTGCTGTCGTTCCCTGCGATCCCGAAGATCCAGACAAGGTCAGTGTTGCCGCGGTGACCAGCGGTACAGGAGAGCACATGGCCACCACCATGGCGTCTCAACGGTGTGCTGAACGAATCTATGGCAGCACCCGTCGTGGACCGAACGGCAGAGACATCGAAGAGTGGGACGAGGACGCTATCATGGAGTCCTTCATCACGAACGACTTCATGGGCCACCCTGGCGTCAAAAACTGCAACTCGGTCGGGGCGATTGGTGTAATGACAGTCAAGAAGACACGGACAGGGTACTACTTATACTTTGCCCACAACACTGACTCTTTCGCACTCGCCTCGATGGGTGGTTCCGATAAGGAGCCCGTGTGCGTCATGTCTCGTCTTGGAGAGTCAGCTCAAGTCACGCGAGGCGCTCGAAGAATACGAGTCGATCTCGGCACATGAACGCAGGGACAATGATGTGCTTAGCCGGGGGTTGAACGAGCACAGCCAAAGATGGTGAGTTTAGACGGCACACTTTCGTGGTCAAATGGCGCAGAGTTGAACATCAACACGGCTAGACCTGAGAGAGCCAGGAGCGGTTGAAGTTATTCTTACTTGGTAGTGATACCCCTTCTTAGTGCAGCATGCATTCCTCCTAGAGCATCATCATCTGGAGGGTAACTCAGGCAGAAAACAAGAAGTATGCTTCAGGCATATGATTTCCCAAAGAAATAAGACGTTTATGAAGCATTGTCCGGAATTTCAATTCGTTCCTCTCTTTAGAGGGAACTCTATTGTGCCATTATATGTCCTAAACGCCCGATTCAATCCAATCGCACCGACGGGCCGTTATCTGCTAAATTTCGTGCGACTCTGAGGGACCTCAAGGAACGAAGTAGATCCATGCAGTCCCGCCCCTTGGTCTGCGATGGAATTCGCTACTCGCTATGATCAGATTCGAGTAACTGGGTGCCACTCGCGATACGGAGCCGCCTTGAGACTTTGAGCCATGGGCAACAGGCTGGCGGCATCGTGTCGTGCTGGCTGCCTATTCACATTTATCGCACTCCTGGCGGTGCTTCTGGTTTAAGGCCAGCCCGTATCAACCATCACTCGAATGATGTCCATGCTTTGTGTCATGTGTTTTATCCTGGACGAGGGGTGCCCGCCGCACTGCCCGTTTCCTCCCTGATATGGCCGTTCGCCAGGACCGTCTTCTTCTTCTTCTTTTTCCTCCGCGGTATAACGGCAGGCTTGGCGCCATAGCTGCCGAGAGAGAGCTTCGTGCCGCAGGTTAGGCACTCTGAGTTTTCGGGCACGTCGCAGAAGATGCTGAGGCAGATGCTGCAGACGAAGCCCGTGTCGACGACGCGGCCGTGGCAGAAGCAGGCGGCGCGGAAGTCGACGGTGTGATGGGTTGGCGGGATGAGGGAAGAGCGAGCCTCTGCGTCGGCGGAGTAGGCGAACATGAGGTAGCTGAGGAGGCCGCGTGGGCTGGCGGCTTGCATGAAGGTGCCGTCGGTGATGTAGCTCGCCTGCTGGAGGAAGGTTGCGTCGCCGGACAGGGCGAGGGTGTCGATGGGGATCTGGGAGTGGGCGGCGGCGAAGACGGCATTCATGGTGGAGATGTACTGGACGGGCTCCGAGTCGGAGACGGAGAGGATAAAGATTCGGGCGCGGAGGCGGCTGAGGGCGGAGGAGGTCGGGCGGGCCACGTCGGGGGCCTTGTTGGTCTCGTTGAGCGAGAGAGAGGTCTTGTTGATGTGTGTGAGGGCGAGGGTGAGGGCGCCTGAGAGCTGTGTCGTCGTGCAGGCTAGGTCGGCCTCGGTAGTTGCGTCGACCAGCTGGCGCATCGCGGCCATGACGGCAGCCTCGATCTGGGCGAACTGAGGGAACTTGTTGGCCGAAGACTGGTTGGGGGTCGGCGCAAAGGAGTCGATGCCCGTCATTGCGACATCTTCAGAGTTTGCGCTGCCGTTTGTGGCGGCGCCAGGCTTTGAAGGGTAGAGCCATACGGCACGGTTGCTGTGAGAGGCGATGATGGCGACCTGGTTCGCATTGCTGAAAGCGAGGTGAGCGTTGACGAAGACCAGGATGTTGGCGATGGCTTTTGAAAGTGGGAGGATATCGTTGAGGGCGGCCCAGGCTCGAGGGTTCGTGTCGATGACAATGGACAAGAGGGAAGGGGTGGCCTCGTGTGAGGAGACCTCGTAGTGGTCTGAAGCGTCGACGGCGTTCATGGCGGAGGAGGATGCGGTAGTCGACGATGGCCTCGAAGGGCGACGGGCGCCTGGTCGCGAGAGAGTGTCACGGGCGGAGCATCTGTGGTTTGGCTCGAAAAGGTGTTGGAAGCCTGTGGGTTGTATTGACTATCCAGTGACCTCGTTCGATTCGGACCCAGTCCGATCCTACGTCCTTGAAGCCAAACGGATAGAATTGGTCTCTTGGCGCAGTGTCATTCACAAACAGACAGGGTGAGCTGCTCTTCTTTTTCCCTCTGTCTCGCAAGTAGGGGTTTGTGTGAGGTGTGGTGATGCAACGAAGCTAGCTTTCATCCAGAAATATCCGTAACCCATGTGCCCCGGGCTTCAAATTGGCCTGTGCTCCAACAGACTGGACGGCAGGGAAACCTGCCAAAGTTGATTGGACGGCACAGGACCGGGGACGACGGGGAAGAGGCTCCGAAGGGGAAGCGACAGTAACTTCCATTCAGGCGTGCTCCTGACGTGGGGGGCGCGTTGAGTGACAGAGACGATCGACGCGCACCAGCTCGAGGGGAGCTGTTTCCATTTTGATGAGGTAAGCTCGAGGACAATAGCACCTTGCCGTTTGCTTAGGTTGCGTGGTTGCGTGCTTGCCAATCTGTGAAGTACATTCAAGCAATCCCGCCCCGCTCCTCCCCTGCAACGGGGACTCATTGTTCCTTCCAAGCCTACCTTAGTGGGATATGCCTGTCTCGAGCATGACGTAGGTAGGCAAGCACTTACTATCTGCGTATCACCTACGGCACTCATTATTTATCAAGCAAAGAAACGTGTGGAGACCCTGTCTGTCGACGACGCGGAGCGGGCGGTGTAAGTGTTGGGTTCCAATGGTTGAGGCTCGACAGAGTGACACGAGTCTCTTTTGAAGTCAGTCGTCAGTGTTTGTGCCAGGGCGGGCAGGGTGCTCAGTGAGGGGTGTAGTCTGCTACAAATGGTAGCCAAGGAGGGGCACCCGTGGTACCTAAAAAAAGATGGGAGCACCGTAGATTGCAACAGTCAGCCCGTCCGTTGTATCAGGAGCTGACGGTTGAACAGAAACAGCCCAGCGGTGGTTCCATTCCATCGTCAGTTCTTACTCCTTGGTACTTGAACTTACCCGGACCGGCTGGGCTTCCTCTGGGTGGCACGGCAATACTGAGTAAGGCACCCAAGGTAAGCCCGAGAGAGGTCCCGTATGTAATCGCGACGACTCGAGTACGTGACCCACCTACCTTAAACCCCGTAGGCAACCTAAGATACGGGTAGGTACTAGTAACTGCGTGCGCTGTGCACCTCACCTTCTTGCTGGACTGCCACTGGTGGTGACTGCCCATCAACGCGCACCCACTGACCAGTGACAAGTCTCACTTGTGAAACCTCTTTGGGGTTGTCGTCTGCCATTTCTTATCTTAGCAATCAACCCTACCCAAATCCTCCTCCACGGCCACCTCACGCCTCTGTCATCGCCGGACCTTTTACCTTACCTTGTGACCAACGCATCGCACAGTCCGCTGTCGCCGCCGCCGCCCTAATCACCGCAGCAAGGTACCTACTTATATCAACCGTTCCGCCCCGTTTTGTTCTAGGCTTTTTCTGTCCGTCCCAGGTCTGTCCGTTCCTCACTCACTCAACAACACACCTTGACGTGGTACCAAAGTATACATTATCACAGCTCGCTCAACCGCCTCCCAGCCTGAGCGAACAACTACTGCAATGGCCGCCGTCACCCAAGCTTCCGCTCCCACCACGGCGCCTCCGAGAGAGGATGAGACCCTTCTCGTTCTTGCGCGATTAATGGAGGGCGGCCAGGAGGATGATGAAACCATTCGCGATCTCGACCAGCTCACCAAGCTGTTGAATGAGGATCTTCAGCTCATCCAGGCCAAGACCGGTGCCCCCACGATATGCAAGCTCATTGATGGTGATTGCGTCGACACCATCTTGACATATCTCGACATGAGACAGCCCGAGATTGTTCGCGCGCACGCCGTTATCGCCACATCCGCCTATCTCAAGGCCGCCGGCGATGATGGTGCCAAGAAGCTGTCCAACTTCTTCTTTGACAAGATCAAGAGGGGCACTTATGACGACTACATCGTCGCCTTTTGTGTGGCTGCCTCCACCTTCCCGGTCGTTCCTGACCTCACTTCGGAGCTGTTCCTCAGCGAGGGCTTCCTGAGCTCCCTCGGCCCGTTGATGAGACGGAAGTGGAAGAGCCGCAAGGTCGAGACTGCCTGCTTGGAGATGCTCAATGCTGCATGCATGAACTCTCAGTGCCGTGACGCAGTGAACAAGTATTGCACTGAGTGGTTGGAGGAGGTTGTCGACCAGGATCCCGAGGAGATCGCCAAGGAAATGTCACAGGACCCTGAGTATTCCATCAAGGAAGGCTCCGTCGCCATGCGCAAGCACTCGGAACAGGTTCAAAACTTGGCAGCGGTTATCCTGGCGAAATTGAGGGTATGGTATTCATCAACAAACGGACATGAAGCCGTCCAATCACAGATCTGACTGACTTCAGAACGAAGGCAGTGCCCACGGCGCCGGCGCTGAATGAGGACGGGCAAGGGAAGATATCACCTGCAATCACAACCATCGAGGAGCTTTCAACGAGGTTCACCTCCATGCTCCTCAGCGAAGACGACCATGGACACCAACATTCTATCGAAGGGCTGGCCTACGCATCGATCCGGCCCGCCATAAAGGAAAAGCTGGCAGGGAACGCGGATTTCCTAAAGAAACTTGTCAAGACGTTGGCCGACGCTCCGGCCAAGTCACCCGTGACGTACGGTGCGCTTAGCATCTTGGTGAATCTCACCAGATACCAACCCAACCTATCCGAGGAGGAGAAGAAGATGAACCAGCTCAAGGCATACGCCGCCGCTGCTGGAAAGTCTGCCGGGCCCGATCCTCTCAACGACAACGACCATGTGGCAGAACGATGCCGGCGCGTTTTCGAGGCCGGCGTCACACCGGTTTTAGTAACTCATAGCAAGGGTGGTTCGGCCGCGTCACTATCACTCACTGTCGCTATCATTTACTCTCTTTCAGTTACGACATCTTTGCGCGGCAAGCTTGCTCAGCAAGGCGCCGTCAAGCTTCTCTTGGCTGCGTGGGCTTTGCTCCCAGAGTCCGAAGCCGCCGGCCGTCGCACTGCTGCGCAAGCCCTGGCGCGCATTCTCATCAGCACCAACCCGGCTCTTGTTTTCGGCGGCAGTCGTTCCAACCCGCAAAGCTCTGCGATCCGCCCGCTCATCTCCATCATTCCCACAGACCCAGTTGCGGAGCACCGCGACCTTCTTCCGACGTTCGAAGCGCTGATGGCGCTCACCAACCTCGCGTCGACCGATGACCTCGATACCAGACGAGCCATTATCAGAGTGGCGTGGCCACAGATCGAGGACCAGCTACTTTCCTCGAATCCGCGCGTGTCAAAGGCCGCCGTTGAGCTTATCTGCAATCTCGTGCAGGCCGTGGAAGGTCTGGCATTGTATGCCGACGGCAGTCCCGCAGCAAAAGGTCGTTTGCACATTCTACTCGCGTTGGCGGACGCCGAGGACGAAGGCACGCGCAGTGCAGCAGGTGGTGCTCTAGCGGCTCTCACTGGCCACGAGAATGTCGTCCAAGCCATTGTGGAACGTGAGCGAGGCGTCAATGTCATACTCGACATGTGCGCCGACGACAATGAGGACTTGCGGCACCGCGCCGGCTTCATCATCTACAACATGGTGGTTGCTGAGGGCGCTCCAGGGGCCAATGCGCGGAAGAAGATTATTGAGGAGGGTGGTCTGGAAGGGCTCAAGGAGGCCGCTAAGAAGAGTCGGCGAGCGGAGGTGGTTGAGGTCTTGGTGCAAGCGTTGAAGATTCTGCTAGAGGACAATCGGACATTGGAGGGCTGAAAGACTTGGTCTCCCTTTTTTGTGTGCAGACAGAAAAACCTCATACAAGAGTAGACAGAACAAGAGGATCACGAAATAAAACGGTAAAAGACTTGGTAATATGTTTTGAGAGAACGGTCTCATGCCACGTCCATACTCTGGTGGCTGTTGCTTTTTCGAATTATCAGACCAATGCTGGTATCACAAACTTTTGTATACTCTCTCCCGTGATATGAGATCCCAACCCGTCCCAATGCAATCCATGTAAGGTAGGTTAATCAAGCACTCTTCTCGACCCTGTTCAATACCGCCACACCCTCGACATGTCCCGTCTGCGGGAAGAAGTCGAAGCCCACGATACTCTCAATCTCATACTTTGTACCATCCCCACCGTCCCCGCGCACCAGCACGCCCACGTCGCGCGCCTGCGTGTGAACATTGCAGCTCACATACACGACCCTCCTCGGCCCAAACGCCAACAACTGGCTCAAAAAGTCGTTATCGCAGCCTTTGCGCGGCGGGTCGATGACGACGACGGTCTCGTCGGCCGGGTAGGTGACCTGCTTGAACAGCTGGGGCGCGTCAGCGGCGAGGAAGTTGCACTGCGACTCGGGGAGGTTGTTGAGGCGGGCGTTTTTGCGGGCGCACTCGATGGAGTCCTTTGCGATGTCGATGCCTGTGCTGCCGGTGAAGAGGGAGGCGAGGGTGATTGTGAAGAGACCGGAGCCGGAGTAGGCGTCGATGAGGTATTTGATGCGGTCGCGGTGGGGGCCGGCGGGGGGCATGACGTGGTCGCGGATGTACTGGGTGAATTTGGGGAGGATGGAGTTGTTGTTTTGGAAAAAGGAGTTTGCGGGGTTGGTGAAGAGGTAGTTGTCGATGTACTCGCTCGACATTGCGCCCGTGGCGGAGAGGCAGGTTTTGATGTCTACGTGGGCGTCTGTCTCGACGCGGACTGCGTCGGAGGGGGTTTCTGCGGGGGGTTGTTCTTCTTCGTTTGCTGATGCTGATGCTGATGCTGATACTTCCTCTGCCGTGGTTGTTTCTTCCTTGGCTGCTGTGCTGTTGGCGTTGCCGTTGCTGATGACCTTCTTCGGGTAGCGTTTTGTGCTCTCGCGGAGAAGGATCGTGGCGCCCTTTGTGAAGTTGCCAAAGTCCCTGGCGATGCGCTCACGCTCGCGCTTCATGCCCAGGCGAACGGCGTCGGTTCCAATAGGGCAGTCCTCAATATCCAGAACATGACGGCGGCCCTTGGCGTTGAAACCAATCTCGGGAACCTTGCTCAGCGCCTGCTTGGGCTTATTCCTCTTGTGGTGGCCAGGAGGGCCGTCAAAGTGCGGCGTGAGCTTGGTGCGGTATCCGTACTGCAAGGGGCTGCCGATGGTATCCCTGATGGACGGGACCAGGTCCGGGTTCAGGTTGGAGAAGTTCTTGTACGCCTTGTCGACGATGGAGCGCTTGTGCGACAGCTGGGTGTCGTAGTCGAGCATCTGGAACTGGCAGCCGGAGCACTGGGAAAAGTACTTGCAGTTGACGCGGGCATCGTCGCGGAGGGAGCCCGCCTTAACGACGGAGACGAAGTCGGCTACTGAGTAGGACTCCTCGCGGACATGTCTAATGACCTTTGCCTTTGCGATATCGCCGGGTGCGACAAAGGGGACGACGTAGACTTGTGTCGAGGTCGAGCCCAGCTGGAAACCGAGGCCATCTCCTGTTGACGAGATTGCGTGGACTTCTACTTCGATTTCGGTAAAGGTTTCCGGAAGGGTTTCTGAGGGTGCTTGGGTCTCGGCCTGCGTTTCTCCGTTCTCTGCCCCGTCCTTTACCTCCTCACCTGCCGCCGGTGCATCGGGGAGTGATTCCTTGCGCAATGCGATGAGCGCTTGCACGTCGAACGCCAAGACCTCTTCTGACGAGCCCTCGGTGATGTTCCTCTCACGCTTCGACTTGCGCTGCTTATCCTTGCCCCTTCCGCCTCCCTGGCCGCCCTGGAATGAACGCTTGTTGCCATTGGGCTTGTTTCCGCCATTCTGCCACTTCTTTTGACCCTGCACCTGTGCCTGACCTTGGTGAGATGACTCTCCTGCATTTGTTGCTGCTGCTGGTGCCGCTGCCGCCGCCTGAGGCGCCTCTGCTGTTGACGACATGATGACTCTGCGAATGAGTGGCCGGGGAGCTGCTGCCGAGGCCGAGCTTGAGGCCCGGGTGAATGTGAGGGCGTTGATAGCCGGACGTAGTGAAGATGAAGTGAGTCTCGGAAGGAGCCGCAGGGGCAAACCCATTGAACGCCTCAAGCCAATGTTGGTAATACACCAATTATGAGACAAGATGGCCCGCTAAGAGCACCGTGTCACAGTATAGCTTGGAAGTACAAAAATTTGGTGTAAGATGAAAGTATGAAAGTCAAAGACTTGAAGTTGAAGCTTGTGACATGCGACCTGTGAAAAAAAGTTGTCGCCCATCTGAAGGTTGCTGAGAATTACTTAATTCGCCCGTCGCTGATTGGCGTCCCTGGGACTCGGTGTGGGGCTTCACCAAGCATGACTGCTATCATGCGGCACACTTTCAATTGTCACTCGCCCACCAAGTGCCACCACACCTTGAGGTACCTATCTTACTCTGTATGTAGGTACTTAGCTAAGTAAGTGTGGCCCACATATTGGACCCCAGAACTCGCTTATCAGTTGTGCCTGCCGGATCTGGGGCTGGAACCAAGTTGGTAATAGCGACTTGGTCTGTCGCAATCGCCGGGGACCCAGTAGTAATAAGTCATGGCCCTCCCCCGACTACGGCGTTCAATGCCTCCAGCTTACTCACAACCCTTTCTCTTGTCTTGGTGATCTGTTGGGTATAGAAGGCTTCTTTATCGCGGTAGATAAGAGACGCAACGCTGAGAGTTGCTTACCTCCCGAGTCCCTCTGTCATCCCTTCCGCTATCTCTTATCGGTGTCTCGGCCGTTGTGCACGTTGAGTCTCGGAGGTACCGTCCGGTGTTGGAGTCCACAGACCGCCGCCCGGCCTTGAATTAACCACCTATCCAAGATGAGTGAGTTCATCCCATCCAGTAGAGGAGATCAGCATCTTCTGGAAATCATGAAAAGCGATTAACCGAGAACAGAGACATCTCCCAAGTCAATATGGCATTACCCAGCCTCTCTGCTCTTGCTGGCCGAATTCCGCTCGGTTTCGGCCGCAGCGATACCGGAATTCGTCTTTAACCCTCGTGCTGGCGACACTGGCGCCGTTGCAAGTGAGTCGGTTGAGTGCAGTAGGATTGGCCGTGATCTACTTGCGCAAGGTGTATGTGTTTTTTCCACTTTCTTCTCATAATCTCTCAGTAAGGTTACACAAGGCCTGACCCCCATGTAGGGAAACGCCGTAGACGCGCTGGTCGGTACGACGTTCTGCGTTGGAACGGTGGGCATGTACCACTCCGGCATTGGCGGCGGCGGCTTCGTCGTCATCAGAGACGGTGATGGGAACTACGAGTCTGTGGACTTTAGAGAGGCTGCGCCGGCTGCTGCGTTCCAGGATATGTACCAAGGCAATATCGCGGGTAGTGTCTACGGCGGCCTTGCCGTGGGCGTGCCGAGCGAGGTTCGTGGGTTGGAATACATCCACAAGAAGTACGGTGTAAGTGAACAGCTTGGAAAGAAAGCGAGAGATTCTCATTACTGACTTGGTCATCTCAAAAGACTCTGCCCTGGAAGAGCGTCGTCACCCCGGCTGCGAGGTTGGCGACTGCGGGCTTCCGAGTGTCTTCGGACTTGGTGCGATATATGGACGCCGCTATCAAAGGGCAGTGGAACTTTCTCGTCGAAGATCCAGTATGGGCTGAGGAGTTTGCTCCCAACGGTGAGTCTCTAAAATCCTCCGAGTGTAGGTCAGTAGGAAGTAGTGAACTAACACGGAGCAGGCACGCTCCTCCAACTTGGTGATACCATCTACCGCAAACGTTACGGAGCGTAAGCCTCACACACACTCACATATCTCTCAGAAAATTAGAAACTGACAAAAAACCCAGCACCCTCGCCAAGATCGCAGAACAAGGCCCAGAAGCCTTCTACTCCGGCCCCATAGCAGAGTCCATGATCGCCACAGTCCGCGCCACAAACGGCACTCTCACCCTAGAAGACCTCGCCTCCTACAAGGTCGTCACCCGCCCCTCCCTCTCCATAACCTACCGTGGCCACCGCCTCACATCCGTCGGCTCCCCCGCCAGCGGCGCCGTCTGTCTAAACACCCTTAAGATCATGGAGCAGTTCGACCCGGCTGAGTCCGCCGACACCAAGCTCGGCGTTCATCGCTTCGACGAGGCCATGCGCTTCGCCTACGGCGCCCGGTCTCTGCTCGGTGACCCGGACTTCGTGGAAGGCATCGGGCCGTTTGAGGATACCCTTATCGACGAGGCCACGGCCAAGGATATCCGCGGTAAGATCCTGGATAACCAGACGCAACCGGTTGAGCGGTATGATCCGCAGGGCGTGTACTCGAGCGAAGGGTTCGGGACGTCGCATATCGTCACAGCGGACAAGTCCGGCATGGCCACCTCCCTGACCACGACCGTCAACCTCCTCTTTGGCGCTCAAATCATGGACCCATTATCCGGCGTAATCCTGTAAATTCCCCTTCTCCTATCCATCCCTTCTCACCGTAAATTCCACTCACTGACAAACAACCAGCAACAACGAAATGAACGACTTCTCAATCCCAGGCGTCCGCAACGCCTTCGGCTTCGAACCCTCCCCCGCAAACTTCGTCCGCGCCAACAAGCGGCCCCTCTCCTCCATCACCCCCGTCATCGTAGAACACCCAGACGGCTCCCTCTACGTCACCGTCGGCGCGGCAGGCGGCTCCCGCATCATCAGCTCCACGGCCCAAGTCACCTGGCACGTCCTCGAGCACGGCCAGACCATGAAGCAGGCCCTCCGCGAGCCCCGCCTGCACGACCAGCTCATGCCCAATACCGTCACGTTCGAGTACGCCTTTGACAACGACACCGTCGCCAGCATGCTCGAAAAGGGCCACGACGTGACGTGGGTGCCCGAGGGCCGCAGCGCCGTGCAAGGCATCATCTTTGAAGACGGCGTATTCGAGGCCGCGAGCGAGCCGCGGCAGAAGAATAGTGGTGCATTTGTGGTGTAGATGGTTTAGATGATATATCACGCTTACGCTAGATGATGAGATTTTATGTGCAACATAAGCCAGGTTTATTGAGGTTATCTGAAGGAAAGGGGTATCCTCGAGTCTATCAAAGTACATATAGAAATACAGGCAAGAGTCAACAATGCATCTAGGGCGTCATGGCCACCAACTTCTCCATCTGGGCGATCCACTTCTCGTCAAACTCGCTCTCGGTGAAGCGCTTGGCCGACCGGCGTGCGCGGAGGCGAACAGGGAGCGGATCCTTGATGGAGAGGGCCTTTTCGTAGCCCTCGGCGAACTCCTTGACATTCGTAGCGTGGAAACCTATAAGCTAGTTAGTCTTCATCTTCACAGAAAGCTAGGTCAATACTAACCAGTGGGCTGGCCGTCGATTTCAATGACGATATCCAGCTTGGGACCACCACTGGCGTGGACAACGGAAATCAGACCGGCGGCTTGGTACTCGACGACACCAATGCCAAAGTGCTCGTTCCACATGCCGTTGACACCGACGGAGGCTCTCTGCAGCCAGTCCAAAATCTCAGGCCACGAAGCGTCCAAATGGAACTCGACACGGTCTTTGATGCCGAGCTCATTCACCAAGAGGCGCAACGTATACACCCGCTTGGAGTCGTGGTCGTCTCTGACACTACCAATGAGGACCAACTTCGCCTCCTTGGCGGCTTCGGACTTGGTGTTCAGGAAGTCGGCGAAAGCTTGAATGACCAGGGTATGGTTCTTCTCGGGGCGGAACTGAGCAATGTAGACCAAAGCCTGCTCTCGCTTCCGCTCGCTGGCCTCGGATACCTCTACTGCCTCTTCGAGCTCCTCGACAGCGCAGGGTGGGAAGTTGACAGCGATAGGGTTGTTCCTTCCCTTGGCCTGGCGGTAGGGGCCCCAGAGTTTCTGGACGTGACCTTGGGTCCAGGTCGAGTTTGTCATGACAATGTCAACAGTAGATCCAACCCGGGAGTACAAGGCCGCAAACATCTTCCAGTAGAACTTCTTGACCTTGCCTCGGATACCAACGCCTTTGCCGGCGTTGACGCCCTGACTTCCAGTCTCGGCCTTGGGGTCCAGTGATTCCAGCATATCAGTCGAAATTGTCGGGTAGTGAACATAGGCACAAGTAGGAACTCTGCGAAAGAGCAACTTGCACAAACCCAGGGAGAAGGCATAGCCCATAGTATCAATGAAGATGTCAGGGACAAGGAGCTGGAAGGCATCCCATGCCAACACTACAGATCCAATCGATTGTCCAAGGAGGGTGAAGTGAGGCCATGTCGAGGCCAGAACGAGGTGTCTTGTGCTAACGTAGAGGAAGTTGATGGTCGGGGGATGCAGGTCGATGTTGAACCGGGTCTGAGACATGTCGTTAGTATGAGGAAAGAGGGGTTCTACGGTGGGAGACAAACCTTGACGCGCTCGAGCATGGCCTGCTTGTTCACTTCATGGTCGCCAGTGTACACAACACAGAGTGCATTAGGGTATCTCTCCTGAGTGGTCTTGATCGCAGCCCAAAGGACTCGCTCTCCTCCTCCGCCAGCGTTACTGGGTGCTGTTAGTGACCGTCCTTTTGGCGACTTTTGCAATCGTTCGACATACCAGAAAGGGTGGAAGAATCCAACGACCCCGGTCCATTCTGAGTCCTTCTTTTCGGAGCTTCCGGAAGCTTGTGCCTGCACATTGTTCTTCCCGCTGCTGGAGCTCTTCTGGGTGTTCTTGAATGACTGTTGCTCAGCAGTCTTGAGCTCCAGAAGCTGTGCTCTCCTTCCCTCTGTCTTTTTTCGTAGGTACCATCCCAGCAGGGAACCAATGCCTTTCATCAGCAGAGGAAACATGATGTAGGTCGCGATTGGAGTAAAAGCGATGATCGGCACAACGACGTAGGCTAGGGTCCAGGGATCGAGGCCAAAAGAGAAGGGCGTCTGCCCAGACGGCGCTGAGCAGGTTTCGGGCATCGGGGTGAAGGGATCGCAGAATTCGTAGGATTAGGTTTTGG